CCTTACCTTTGCAGTGCCTCTTTGTTTCCTTTTCAGAGCCCTTCCTTTCAGATCACTGTAACGCCTTGCCACTCTCCTCCATGTGCAGCTTCCCTCCTTCCCCCAGTTTCTGCCTGCATGTCTGACCTCAGGGAAGGAGGAGACAGACAGTCAGGGAAGTAGTGGGCAGGCAGTCATGGAAGGAGGGGCCAGGCAGTTATGGAAGGAGGGCCAGGCAGTCATGGAAGGAGGGGACAGGCAGTCATGGAAGGAGGGGCCAGGCAGTCAGAGAAGCAGGGGCCAGGCAGTCAGGGAAGGAGGGGACAGGCAGTCATTGAAGGAGGGGACAGGCAGTCATTGAAGGAGGGGACAGACAGTCATGGCAGGAGGGGACAGGCAGTCAGGGAAGAAGGGCCAGGCAGTCATGGAAGGAGGGGACAGGCAGTCATGGAAGGAGGGGACAGGCAGTCAGGGAAGGAGGGGCCATACAGTCATGGAAGGAGGGGACAGGCAGTCAGGGAAGGAAGGCCAGGCAGTCATGGAAGGAGGGGCCAGGCCATAGACATATAATACCTAGACGCCGCATTGACCGCTACTTCCTATTGGCGCTAATGAGCCGCGGGGCTGCCATCTTGGATCGGTCACCCGCTCCATAGACATATGTCTATGACCCACTCTACTCATTGTAAAGTAACTGCTACAGGGCCACACAATGGAAAAGGTATCTTGATTGTATGTATACTGTAATTGTAGGAATGTTTGTACAGACATTGAACCAAATATTTTATTAATTTGAGTATTTGTTCTAAAAAATATTTTTCTAATATGCTTTTAGGGAAAAAATTTTGACCTGTTATTTAAACAAATTAACTCACAGGCTAGCACTCATTATTACAGTGAGACAGATTTACACGTAGACCAATTTGTGAAACTACTCTCCTCACCAAACATTGCACATCCGTCAAACTCTTCTCCGCTATCCAATACAGACACTGTGCAAGAGACGGGTGTATTTTATGTGCCTTAAAGACTACCTAGATCCTCGAAAACTGCACATATTGGGGAAGGTCCATTGCAAGGATTCTGTATCACTTCCCCCATAGACATATTATATATTAGAAGCTGGTTGTAAAGTTCTCTGTTCGCTGCCGTCATCCAATCAGCTTCTAAAACTCAGGGTTCACTGATTTTCAGGGGTGATCTTAGGGGGCTGCACCAATGCACCTCCTGTTTGAAGGTGCATTTATTATGTCTGCAATGAATGTGGATTCTCTTTACATCTCAACTAAATTGTTAGAATGTGTGGCACCCTGTGATATACTCAGCATGTTGTAAGGGTTGGAAAAGGTTAAAGACAAGATCGTTCTGACACCATAGACTGTCGCTGGCCGTAACACGTTAAAGAAAATGTTAAATATGTTTAATGGATTTTCTTTTTTAAATCCCTGCACCTACGTGGTTCCCAAGGTGCGGTAGCAAAACCACAAGCAAGCAGGCTGCTGGCAAAGAGACGACTCTGATCTGCCGGGTACCATAGACATATATATGTCTATGCATGGTACAACCGGCCCAAAATGGCGCCCGCATTTCTCGCACCACATAAGTCAATGTGGTGTCTATGTATTTATATGTCTACCGTATTTCCCCGAAAATAAACCCTACCCCGAAAAATAAGCCCTAGTTGGATTTTCGGGGTGGGCTGCAATATAAGCCCTACCCCGAAAATAAGACCTAGGCATTGCACCTTTGCGGCGAGACTTCCTTCTTCTACTGTAGGAGGAGCGTTGCGGGCCGCGGCATCGCGCAACGTGATGACGACATTTCGCATCGCCGTCAGTCTGCCTTCACGGATCTTCAGCGGAAGGATCCATTTCTGGGCGGTGAGGCACCCAGTGGTCGGACTCGGCAAGGAATCTTTGAAATGTGAGTACCGGTAGATATTTTATGTCTGGGACTGAATTAATTAAAGGGGGCGGGGGGTGAATTAATTAAAGGGGTGGTGAATTAATTAAAGGGTGGGCTGGATTAATTAGAGGGGGGTGAATTAATTAAAGGGGGTGAATTAATTAAAGGGTGGGCTGGATTAATTAGAGGGGGTGAATTAATTAAAGGGTTGGTGAATTAATTAAAGGGGTGGTGAATTAATTAAAGGGTGGGCTGGATTAATTAGAGGGGGTGAATTAATTAAAGGGGTGGATTAATTGGTGGATTAAAGGGGGGTGGATTAATTAAAGGGTTGGGGGGGTGGATTAATTAAAGGGGGGTGGGGGGGTGGAATTTAGGGGGGTGGATTAATTAAAGGGGGTGGATTAATTAAAGGGTGGGCTGGATTAATGAAAGGGTGGGCTGGATTAATTAGAGGGGGTGGATTAATTAAAGGGGGTGGATTAATTAGAGGGGGTGGATTTATTAAAGGGGGGGTGGATTAATTAGACAGTATGGTATTTTGATCCCCAGACAAGATGAGTGCAAAGAGAAAGAGCTGTACATACTGGTAACGTAAATAAATAAGCCCTACCCTGAAAATAAGCCCTAGTGTGTTTTTTGTGACTAAAATTAATATAAGACCCAGTCTTATTTTCGGAGAAACACGGTATGGGCCAGGCAGTCAGGGAAGGAGGGGCCAGGCCATCAGGGAAGGAGGGGCCAGGCAGTCAGGGAAGGAGGGGGGCAGACAGTACAACCACGTAATAGACAGCAGAGGATCCTGTGTGACAGAGCTCTCCTCCTAGGATGTGCTAATCGGTAATGAAGTACAGACTATATTTAAAGTAAAATAAACACAGGTACCCGGTAGAGACACCTGCTAGTTCAGGATGCAATTTTCTTGCTGCTTCCCCCACTGGACCCACATGTGAGCACAGAGCACAGCATCAGAAAAAAAATACTGGTCTTAGCATTGACGGTATTCCTGCAATACCGGCACCCCGCAAGCAGACATTTAAAGGGACACTCCAGGCAGCTAATCAAGTTAAGCTTAAATAAACCTAATAAGCTCAAAATACCTGTGGTTTGTTTCTTTTCATTCAATTCTGTGTAGTTGTCCTGCTGCGCTGTAAAATGTTTTGCTGATTTAAGCAGTGTAACACAGCTTCATTAGCCACACCCCTCTCACATTTCAACATGTTCCAGATTCCCACTCTGTACATGTACCTTTTGCAGCCAATAAAAACATAGACGTCTTATTTAGTGTAAAGAATGCTCACTGCACAGATTGAATGTCCTCCAGCTCCTGTCAGCAAACTTTCCTACCCAGTGTTAACCCCTGCTCTGCTAGTCCCTGTCAGCCAACCTCACTACCCACTGTAGATAGACAGCATTATAGAAAAATAGAGAGAGAGGGAGAAATAGATAACACAAAGCTCTATAGGTATATATCAGTGTGTCTGTCTCTTTATATTTATTTATGAAATAAACATTTGACATTATATGATATGTAGTGTGGTGAGGAAATGTTTGTGTGTGTATAATACTGAGGACTCCGAGGAGGCTTGGGCTGGCATTGTGGACATGTGTAAAGCTCTTCACCATGGACGTTTGCCATGAAACACCTGGAGGAGTGTGAAAGCTGGCCTCCTGTCCACCAACTATGGTGCAGGTCTGAGACCCCGTTCGGGAGTTAACCTTCCCAGCCACCATTAGCAGCTTTCCCTGCGTGCCCCTGGTTCAGCACTTTGCTTTCATTTGAATGGAACCGAACACAAGCTCCCTGGTGGCCGTTCGCATGAAGAAACCCACAAATTGTCCTCAGCGGTACTTAGCCGCAACCATTATGGCACTAAATTCGGCATGAGGACTTCGTGGGTCTCCGGTCACCTCAGCGGTACTTAGCCGCGAATGTTATGGAACTGTTTTCTGCATGAGGTGACCGGTTTTGAACGTCAGAAGAGCGCTTTTTGGAGGGAAGGTGCCTGAGACTAAGGGGCAAACGCTCCCTGAGAGCCAGGTGGAGCACCCTGTATTGCGGCTGCAGGAGCTCCTGAAAGTTGACCGGCAAAAGCACCAAACACCCTGGAACTGTTTGGGGCATAGGACCACATGTGCGGCTAGTCAGAACATGATGGGGTTTCCCCTACACTGCATGGATTTGAGCGCTATTTGGAGAACTTGGGTGCTCAGATCAGGGCTATTTGGTGATGTATTATTTGTGGGGTAATTGTATATTTTTATGCTGTTTTGGGGTATTTTTATGTTTTAATTTTTGTGCCTGGGAGATAATTAGCTTACCTGTCTTTAACTCAATTATCTCCCAGGCACAGAGATCTTTGGGAGGGGCTTGTATTGTATTGTGTGGAGACCCCCTGCTAGGGGTTGTGTATATAAGCAGGCAACTTGGCCATAATAAACCAGTTCCTTTACACCCTTCACTCAGTCTGGGCTAGTGTTTGGGTAAATCAGCTATACTCTCTGCAGGAGAACTTAATCACTTGAAGCTGTACCCATGACCCTGTTCCAGGGCGGGAAGCGAGGGAGGGACCCCAGCCAAGCTGCGGCGGCTAGGGGCTGAAGAACTCCTGTGTCCCAGAGGAGAGCTAGGAAGCAAGCTTGACGGAGGTACCCAGTCGGGGTGCCAGCCAGTCCATCACACTGAGTGAAGGTCAAGCACACCCAATAAGGCATGTCATTACTGATTCTCGTAGAGAATCACTGGAGGATGGTCATTGGTGGACAGTCTGGCTGAAATACAGGAAGCAGGAAGATGTGCCATGCAATCAGAGGAGCGGAGAATCTGATCATAGATTAAAATAGGTACTTCTAAAGCTCATTTTACACTATTTAGGGAAACATGCATTTAGTGACAGTAGGTTTACTGTTAGGGGGAAGGGATATACGTTTTGTTCCTATACAATTCCTTTAAAGTTAACACTTGGCTCTTGATCATCATTTGAACATGTAATTAATACCTTCTTGCTCTGTCTGCTAATCTTAGCACTCCCCCATCATCACCCTCCTGGATTTAAGCTGAACTACCTCTCTTTACTATACTACCTACCACATTTACCCTTCTTTGACCCTCCCCTTTCTATTCCTAATGATAAAACCTCCAAACTTCTAGCCCTCTTCCATCTAGGTGCAATCCATCACGGCTATAAAGATTGTACTCAAGCACAAATAATCCCATTGCTCTATAACCCCCAAACCCTTCTTCCTACACCAAGACTTCAGCCACACTTTGACCTCTCTACTCTCCTGCTTCCTATCCACAGTAGCACCCACGATACACGCACCCTGACACACACAAACACTGACACATGCACAGACAATGACACACTGATGCACACCATGACTCACAGATGTGTGCGCACAAACAGACACAAACACTGACACAGATACACACACAGATGCACACCCTGACACACACACACAAACACACACAATCAGACATAAACACAAACAGCTTACCTTGTGTGTCCAGGAGGGTCACTTGATTAGACTCCTGGTCCTGCTGCTGGCTGGTGGGAGTGAAGGGTCTGGAGCAGCTCTTTGTGTCCTTTTCCTCTCCCCTCATGCTTCCTCCTGCACTGTTTCACTGCATGAAGCTGGGAGGAAGTGACATGCTGTCACTTCCTCCCAGCCTGCTGAAACTACAGAGGCCCGGTCACGTTCTTAAAGGGCAGCAGCACCTGACCGGGTCCCCTGTTTAGCAGAAATGTTTCCCATTGCTATAATCATAGCCCAGACAAAACATGTTGCGGCGTCCTTGTGTGCCTGTGTACTCTGCAAATCAGGACAAATGGATTAATTAATTCTGAATAGTTTTTCTTAACCTGCACTAATTATGCACAACTTATTATTGTCAAAACAGAAAAGAAGATTTTTTTTTAATATAAATGAGAATTTGTATCAAATTAAAGCACCTTTTGTCCTTTAAAAAACACAGTATATTTGATTGTAACAGTCAGCAGAATAAGGCTCCGATATCCACACTCAGCGTGTACATTGTTCATACTTTTGTTTAATTTTATCTGTACCAGATCTGCCATGTTATATGATTTCTTAAGCACTTTCCTTTTCTTGCATCGCTTCAACCTGCATAAGTGCCCATAACCTCTCTCAGCAGGATTAACCTGCGATTAGAAGCCTACCATTGAATACCCAACTCTGTGTCTGCTTAGGTTTGGGTAATGTAATCTACATCAAAGTAAATAATGCAGTAACTCAGACATGTGATGTACTCTATTAGCTAATATCTTGCAATGTATAAGATTGTGTCTCATAAGCCTAGCAGGAATAGCACCCTAAGTCTGAACATAAACGTATGAGCCCAGCCCTCAGAAATGCTGGACACACTATCTCAGCCACCACCATGCCACTAATTTATCCAGAATAAATAGCCGGCCGAAAAAAAAGGGCACTAGCCGAGCGGGCCCACACAAGCCCTCTATTGTACAGCATGGCATAAAGGCGATGCAGGATTGTTTTGATGCTCCCAAACCTGAGGCAGAGCTAGGTAGCCTAGCCACACGGAAGTCTTTGGACGCCATTTAATATATAGCTAACTGTGGCCGTAAACGCGGGCCGATACTGGGTTCTCAACCATGCAAAAGCGCAGTCATACCGAATATTAATGTTATGCTACTGTTGTTATACAAAAATGTGCTGATTATTTTACTGCTCCTACTGTTATGCTTGAAAATATGCTCGAGGAATGCTGTTGGGGCACCACGAGCTTGCATGTATTTCTTTCAACGCACAATAAAAATAAAGAATTAAAAAAAAAAAACAAAAAACAGTATATTTGTATATGAGCTGGTGCAATATATGAGAAAGATGGAAATGCAGTATAACACACACATAGCAAAAATTGATATAGTCCTTAACCCCTTAAGGACACATGACATGTGTGACATGTCATGATTCCCTTTTATTCCAGATGTTTGGTCCTTAAGGGGTTAAGTGAAAGACAAACAAATGAAGCTTGGGTCTTAACGGGTTACAACAAGCATTTTAGTGATTTGAAGTGGTCATTGTGCCTGCAGTCTGTTCGTACCGTGTTTTGCTTTAAAACGTTGCACATACAGAGGTTAACCTCTTAGCTTCTGGAAATGTAACTGCATCTCTGGCAGCGTCACAAGTCAGTGCAGAAAAAAGTTCTGGGTGGCTAATGTTAATTCTGTGCAAAATTGGCATCTGACACCAGCACGCACAGTATGCTGGTGCCCCTCCATGCTGCCTTTGTCATCCCCTCTGTTCATCCTTCACTTTCCCCCCCCCGCCCCCCCGGCTTTTCTGAGTGAGGTCATCCAAACAGGGGAGAACTTGGACACAGCAATGGAACGGAGGGAAGTTTTTGTGTTTTCTTTCTTTTTTTTCAGGTTTTGGGGGGTGGGGTGCACTAGAAATCGTCTCTAGCCAAAATCCGTTTTTGTTAATGAAAACACAGTTTTTTTAAATTAAAATAATCCTTGAAAGGAAAAGTTCTTACAGCTATTTCCTTCTCTTTGGTATTTCTTTATAGATATCTTGCTGTGACCACTAGGTGGCAATATTCTCAACACAAAATTTACTCGTATATAAGCTTTGATTTAATAACATTTCTAAATGATTCAATGCTGTTAGAAAAACTTTCCAAATAATTTATCTACAAAAGTCATCATTAAAGTCTATGGGAATTCTTGCAGATGTGTTCATTTGGAAACATTTTCTAACAGTATTGAATCATTTGGAAAGCTTATAAAGTCAAGGCTATACTTCATCAAACTATATGTTTTGTTTGTGTATTTTCCTTTTTGGATACATTGTATTTAGCCGTGCCAAGTCTTTGGTTATGTTTTATGTAGAGTTTTAGAATATACGTGAATTGATAGTGGGGATAATTTGAGGATTCTCTGGAAGCAGTTAGAAGAATTGCAGTTAGCATGTTAATCTACCGTGCTACACTTAAAGGGACACTAGAGTCACCAGAGCAAATACAGCTTATTGAATTTGTTCTGGTGAGTAGAATCATTACCTTCAGGCTTTTTGCTGTAAACACTGTCTTTTCAGAGAAAATGCAGTGTTTACATTACAGCCTAGTGATTACTTCACTGGCCACTCCTCAGATAGCTGTTAGAAATCCTTCCTGGGTCATGGCTGCCTAAAATGCATCCAAACATTCAGTGTCTCCTCCCTCTGCATGATTCAATTCATCTCTATGAGGAGATGCTGATTGGCCAAGGCTGTGTTTGAATTGGGCTGGCTCTGCCCCTGATCTGCCTCTTTTTCAGTCTCAGCCAATCCGTATGTGTGTGTGGGGGTGCTGTGGGGGTGTGTTTGCTGTATGTGTGTGTGTGCTGTGTGTGTGTGTGGGTGCTGTATTTGTGTGGGTGCTGTGAGTGTGTTACTTAATACTTAATTACTTAATATCCCCCTTCCCTTCTTACCTTATGGATTCTTGTTCCTGCTGCCATCCCTGGTGGTCCAGTGGAGAGTGAACTCTAGCCCCTGTGGGGATAGAGTTCACTCTTGCGAGATCTGAGCATTGCCGTTCAAGCTGTTTTATGATTTACAAGAAAAAAAGGTGATGTTATATTTTTTCCTCCCTATCCATATGGATTAAAGCATCTTTCTTCGATGAAGCAAAGCTTCTCATTGTGTTTCTCTTGTATGTCGTATTTTTCCACCTGGTCTTGTAAATCCAAGATTTTGATGTCCATGCATTCTCTTTCTCTCTGGAGCATGTTTCTTTCTCCATTTTTTTTATATACTAATCTCATTCCTCCGCATCTTTCTGTCCCTATTTTCCTGATTAACCTTGCCTTTGTGTGGTCGATACATCCATCTTGTTTTAGTGACTTTCTCATTATGATCTTCCTTCTCCTATTGTAGCTGGCTGGATTTGTTGACTTTTGGCCCTAGCATGTATTAAACGGATATTTTGGGCACACTCTGTCAGAGGGTTGGAGGCCACTGCGGCTCTCGATTCCGTTGGTGCCGTTTCTGATATTTTAGCTTCTGCTAGCTAATCATGTGAATATACTTTTTGGACTTTCTATGTTTTTTTCTTCACATTTATCTATCTATATATATATATATATATATATATATATATATATATATATATGAAGCCTCCTGCCATGCTATAAAATAGATTATTCTACTCTTGTACTCTTGGTGTCCCAAACAATTTAAATTTTATTCAAGACAGGAAGTTAATTTCCCCCAACCCCCTGTTTTGTTGTCTTTTCTTCTTATGTTAGCATTTTTATACTCAATGTATTGTCGTATGGTCATAGTTCTGCTATTTTTTTCTCTCTGTTGTACATGTCAGTAATTTGGTAGTAATTTACTTAACCATTGTTTGATTGTACCAATTTTATGTCGCTTATGTGAATTCACTTTTTCAGTAAGTTTGTACTGTCACGATTTTTCTCTTTTCTTTCAGTTTGATTTCGTCCTTCGTTGTTCCTGGGTTGACATTTGGTTTCCTCTTCATGTACATCTGTTCCTGTTTCTCTGAACTGTTGTCCTCAGCATGCAGCTGCAACATTAACGAGGATATGGGAGGGCCTTTTTGGGGGTTATGTATTTCACCATCTCCTCTGATTGGTTGTTTTTCCTTTATATTGTTAACTATTTCTTTGCTGCTGGGTGGTGTCAGTAAAGACGGTTAAGCAAATATTCGCCTCCTGTCTTTAAAAAAATTTAGATTAACTGCAAAGATCTAGAATAATTCTTAATTTTTATTCACATGTATAAAATTTGTAAGTTTAGTGTAAGTATAATTATTAAATAAAACAGCAGTAAAGAAGCTAAAGTCAAGCTAATATAGCACTGTAAGATGCAGATATATAGACATGAAAATAAAGTGTCACATGTAATGCAGACCCTTTTATTTTTACTTAAAGGGACACTCCAGGCACCCAGACCACTTCTGCCCACTGGAGTGGTGTGGGTGCCAACTCCCACTACCCTTAACCCTGCAAGTGTAATTATTGCAATTTTTATAAACTGCAATAATTACCTTGCAGGGTTAAGTCCTCCCCTAGTGGCTACTAGACAGCCACTAGAGGGCACTTCCTGGTCCATAGTACAGGTTTTCTGTGCTATAGCGTCGCTGGACGTCCTCACGCTGTGTGAGGACCTCCAGCGTCGCTAAAATCCCTATAGGAAAGCATTGAAAAGCATTTTCAATGCTTTCCTATGGAGAGGTCTAATGCCGCGCATGCGCATTAGGTCTCCCCAGCCAGCAGGTGGGATCAGTCTCCCCCGCCAGCTGATGTAATGAAGGGGAGGAGCGACGTGGGACATGTCACTGCCTCTGGTAAGTGACTGAAGGGGTTTTTACCCCTTCGGCAACTGGGGATGGGAGGGGGAGGGAGAGGGGGCCTGCAGTGCAAGGATAACGGATTGTTTTCCTGGCACTGGAGAGTCCCTTTAAAGCGGATCTGCATCTGGCACCCAGCCTCCCTATAGCCTTAGTGCCCGTTGCGGAGGCAGCTCTAGACTTTCTGAGACCTCAGACAAAGCTTCAAGGGCAACTTTAGTGGATAAAACTAGTTTTACTCTCTTTAAGGAACTTAAAGTTCTATCTATACATGTACTAGCAGTTTTGCTTGCAAATGTATAGATTGGGAGAAAAAAACTATTTAAAAATGGTTTTTTGTTTCACCTATAAATAATTGATAAAGGAGAGCAGGAGAGACCACCGAGAGGCAGTCGTTCTGTTCTCCCACCTTAGTAACCACGACTCAAGTGCTGTTTTGCTATGGTAATTCCATAGCTGGGGCTGCTAGGGACGGCTAGCGGCAGCACTCGGCTCAAACGCTGGTATGCTGGCATTATGGAGGTTTGGTAAATAAGCAAGTGTGTTAGGCGCTTCAAGATGGTATAAATATTGCTTAGAAGTGTATACAGCTGATATATAAAGTGCTCCTCAACACTATAAACAATTCAAGAAATACCAAAAATAAATGTATCAGTGCAACTTATATATACCCAATGTGAATAATACTTATGACTTAAGACACTTGATCTTTCCAAAGTGATGCTCAAATAAATGCAAGAATAAGATGCAGTATATCTGCAACTAATACAAAAAAATAACAACTTTGTGTATACTGTAAAAAACAAAAATGATTCACACTCACATTACTCAGAGCCGTCCTGATATATAAAGCTTTAGGGTGCCTAAACAGGCTAACAGGTCCGTCTGGTAGTAGATGACAGGATTAAAAGTAGATCGAGATAATCCAAGAAGGGATATTTATTAAGGCAATATAACATTTATATATATACACAAAGCAAAAACCCAAAATGTTATGGTGTGGAAAAATTGTGATTTCAAAAAACCCTTCTACCTGAAGTCTGTGGATAATAAATACAATGTCTGCACACCAGTCAAGCCATAAGACTTGCTTTTCCCACATAAATCACAAATCTGCAGTGATGTTACTACCGCAAAGGAATCTGGGGGGGCATATGCAAATTTGTTCAACAAAGGCAAAGCAAAGCAAATACAAATGAGGCAAAAATTTGATTCTTTGTTGAACTAATTTGCATATGTCCACCCAGAATCCTTTGCGATATTAACATCACTGCAAATTTGTGATTTCTGTGGGAAAAGCAAGTCTTATGGCTTGACTGGTGTGCAGATTTTTGTTTAACATTGTATTGACTATATATATGTATATACACTGTCTTTCCCCGGAAATAAGACCGGGTCTTATATTCATTTTTCGAAAAATGCACTAGGGCTTATTTTCGGACGATATCTTATTTTGGGGAAAAATCGTAGCAAGCATGTGCTAGAAAGCAGGTCTACGTTCGATGGAATTAGCCTGAACATAGGACAGTGCATGGAATACCGCGAATCTATGTTCGGGAAAACTTCTCCAAACATAGATTAGCTTACTCGCTAATGGAATCCCACGAATCTATGTTCGTGGAAACTTCCCCGAACATAGATTAGCGAACTAGCAACTAGGGCTTATTTTCAGGGTAAAACGGTGTATATATATATGTCCACCAGAGCTGTTGACCGTGAATTGGATGTTAATTTCTCTACCATAAGTCATCTCCAAAGACATTTCAGAGAATTTGGCAGTACATCCAACCGGCCTCACAACCGCAGACCATGTGTAACCACACCAGCCCAGGATTTCCACATCCAGCATCTTCACCTCTAAGATCGTCTCAGACCAGCCATCCAGACAGCTGCTGCAACAATCGGTTTGCATAACCAAAGTATTTCTGCACAAAGGGAAGCTTATCTTCATGCTCGTCGTCCTCATCGGGGTCTCGACTGCAGTTCATCGTCATAACCGACTTAAGTGTGGCATCTGGCACTTTGGAGGGGTGTTCTCTTCACTGATGAATCCCGTTTTGCACTGTACAGGTCAGATGGCAGACAGCGTGTATGGCATTGAGTGGCCCACAGTGGCGGTGGGGTTATTGTACACAGGTGCATTTTATTGATGGCATTTTGACTGCACAGAGATACTGTGACGAGATCCTGAGGCCCATTGTTGTGCCATTCATCCACAACCATTACCTTATGTTGCAGCATGATATTGCACGGCCCCATTCCTGGAAGCTGAAAACATCCCAGTTCTTGCATGGCCAGCATACTCACCGGACATGTCACCCATTGAGCATGTTTGGGATGCTCTGGATCGGCGTATACAACAGCGTGTTCCAGGTCCTGCCAATATCCAGCAAAGAGGAGTGGACCAACATTCCACAGGCCACAATCAACAACCTGATCAACTCTATGTGAAGGAGATATGTTGCACTGCGTGAGGCAAATGGTGGTCACACCAGATACTGCCTGGTTTTCAGACCCCCCCGGACCTCTACAATACAATAAAACTGCACATTTTAGGGTGGCCTTTTATATTGGCCAGCCTAACGCACACCTTTGCAATAATCATGCTGTCTAATCAGCATCTTGATAATCCATCCACCTCACAGGTGTGGCATATCTCGGCAAAGAAGAAGTGCTCACTAACACCAATTTAGACAGATTTGTGAACAATATGTGAGAGAAATAGGCCTTTTGTGTACATACAAAAAGTCTTAGATCTTTGAGTTCAGCTCATGAAAAATGGGGGCAAAAACAAAAGTGTTGTGTTTATAATTTTGTTCAGTGTATATTTATATCAATAATAGTACTAAAATTGCATAAATTGTTCTTAAATTGTACAGTAATTTGACCAAATAGCAGGCCTAATTTATCATAAAAACATGTAATTAACATGCTCAACAAATGTATTTTTTTATTTATTTATAATTAAGCTGCTACGGCAGATCTCAATGCACATGCTGCTCTTACCAAGCACGTGACTAAGTAATATGCACATTTCTATTTATATATTTCTCTAATACAGTAATGACTAACCTTGGAACCACAGATGTTTGAGAACTGCCACATTTCTTATGATGACTTTTAGTACAAAACTTGTACTAGGAATATTTAGTACAAAAACTTCGGCAGTGTCAAGGTTAACCAACTAGATTAGACTAGACAGACAACATATATGTGTATATATATATATATATATATATATATATATATATATATATATATATATATATATACACACAGTGGGACCTCGGTTTACGAATTTAATGCATTCTCCGGGACGTTTCTTATTGCGAAAAAGTTGTAAACCGAAACACAGTTTCCCATAGGAATGCATTGAAAACCAATTATGTGGTTCATATATTATAAAAATAAGTGTATATAATTATGCTCATTGCTGATGTGCAACCCGGTTAGTAGACAAAACAAATTATAGCAGCATTTAGGCTCTGAGTAATGTGAGTGTGACTGCATCCCTCAATTTTGTCTTTAGGTTTTTTATAGTATACACTATGTTGTTATTTTTTGTATTTGTTTCACAGATACTGCACCTTATTCTTGCACTTAGTTGAAGATCACTTTGGAAAGATCAAGTGTCGACATAAGATATGTTTTTTGTTTTTTTAATTCTTTATTTTTATTGTGCATGAGATAACAGATAACCTTGCTGTGCCACAACAGCAGAAGCAATGATAATGAAAACAATAAGTTATATGGCATTTGAGAGAAAAACAGCACAATTTTATATATTAAGGTAGTCAAACGAAAAATGCATGAGTAGACTTCTATTAAACCCTTAAGGACACATGACATGTATGACATGTCATGATTCCCTTTTATTCCAGAAGTTTGGTCCTTAAGGGGTTAAGGGAATAAGCTAGGGATGCATGCATAGACAATAATATTGTAGTCATGTTGGTCCACGTGAATAAAAGAATAATAAAATAAAATACACCACCCCAGGGAGATAAAGGGACAGAACATGCAGTGCATGATTGCTTGACAAGAGGACATCAACCATCTGAGTACTACAGAGATGAGCATAGAAAATAACAAGGTGTTAGTAGCAAGGGAGATCTATAGGCCATGTGTAGACATAAGGAGTCTCAGTCATGCGGTAAGCACACTCCCGTTATGGATACGATGCAGTGCCAGCCGAGATCACCATGCTGCTAGCCCAGTGCCAATAGTGTCAGCTGTGGGTTCCTCATGCTCAGCGGCTGCCCCCTCCGTTCTACTTCCTTCCTCACGCTGGACAATCTGCCCTCCACCTTTCTCGTGGTGTATCTGCACGGCCTTCACCGCCTGAGGCGAGCTGTGTGGTATCAGGTACTGGTTCCAATCACAGACATAAGCTTCTGAGCACCACGAAACGTTATCACCAGAGCCGCCATTACAGTTCTTGAAGCTTTTGACAAGAACACTGACTGTTCCTCGCAACACTCGGACAGAGAAACACATTCATGTTGACAACCTGACACCCTGTGTCCATTAGTGTGTATTTGTGAATGTGTGTTTCTCTCCTGACAGAGAGAAATACACACTCACATGTACACACTAATAGACACACACACAGACAGATACTAAAGACACTGCTAAATTTACACACACACACACAGCTACACTAAACTATATATACACGGGTCTTTCTCGTGAAACCATTAATAAACCATTGCAGTAATGATTTTAAATATAAAACATATAATTTAGGAATAAAACATAAGAATGACCTTATGTTCTCTGCCTTTTCAACATAGGAATGAATTGTTTTTTTTTTAAAATTATTTTATAGCATTTTCTGTTGAAGTTCTCATTACCACAGTGCATCCAATTATGTCTGAATGTATTTTATGGTGTCGTTCAAACAGAGTAAAAATAAATAAATAAAAGGATGTTCTACAAGATGTTTTCAAAAGACAGAAAAATTATTAACTGAATATTCATTTATAATAATAATAGTGGAAAAATTAAATGTCCATCACTGATCTTATCATCCTCGGCAACATTTTAACCCCTTAAGGACACATGACATGTGTGACATGTCATGATTCCCTTTTATTCCAGAAGTTTGGTCCTTAAGGGGTTAAAAGGACTGTTTAAACACACCAAGAATTTTAAGTAAACTTCGATTTTGAGTGAAGCAACACATCCAAAAGTACCTTCAAGATGGCTACCAGGTAAGAAGATCTCTGTATACTTCCACAGTTACAGATTAAACATTCTATTGACAGACTGTTTAAAGAACACTATTGATTATCATTACCAATACATATAGTTTTGTACATCTAAAAAAAATTTTTAGATTTTAAATTTTCTATGGAAACATACTTCATTAATGTCTAAAAATGTACATTGTGTAAAAATGTACTTAGTCAACATGGCTTCTCTATTGTTGGCAAAATATGTTAAGGATCCTCATCATCTTGAGAACACCATTCTCACTTACCGGGTAAAATTTAAGGCCAATTGTGGTAGAGAGAACTTCTTTTTTGGAAATGATAATTTAATCATACAGACTATTTTGAAAAGAATATTCTGAATGATTACTTTAAATATCATTTACAAACTGATTTTTATTTTCCTTTATATCCTGTGTCATTGCACACAGTCAGCTACTAAGAAAAATAAGGCTTCCGAGAAGGCTAGGCTGAAAATAAAAAAAGAGCAAATATTTACAGCAACACATAACTCCTGGAACAGAAGAAAGGAGAGAGTTATGGGTTGGAAAGGTTAAGGGAAGAGTAACTAGCAAATGTATAACCTATAGCAGGCATAGGCAACCTTCGGCACTCCAGGAGTTTTGGATTACACCTCCCATAATGCTTTGCCAGCATTATGGGTGTAAGAGCATTATGGGGGATGTAGTCCACAACATCTGGAGTGCCAAAGGTTGCCTACCCCTGACCTATAGGAAGCCTGACACCCTACATTGTTGGCAAGTGTACACCAGCATGGACAGGTCTTCCCACACAGTACGTAAGCCATTCGGTCCTTACTGAAGAATGCTCACACACACAAACACACACTGTAAGCAATTCCATCCCTACTATAGGATGCACACACACAGGTCAGTAATCCATTCAGTCTCACTACAGAATGCTGGTGTATGTGATTGATATTTTAAGGTCTCTTAATGGACCACTATAGTGCCAGGAAAACAAACTTGTTTTCCTGGAACTATAGTATTAATAGGTCCCCCCAACCCTCAAGGCTGTAGGGGGAGGAAGGGGTTAATCCCTTACCTTTCTCCAGCGCCGGGCTCCCTTGGCGCTGGAGACTCTCCTTCTACTTCCGAGGTCATCGGCTGAATGCGCATGCGCGGCAAGAGTGGTATAGTGGTCCTTTAAGTGTGTGTTTTTATGGTATTTTGCACTGCTCACTTGTTTTATTTTTGTGTCACTACAGAATGTGCACACACGGTCAGCAAGCCATTCAGTCCCTACTATAGGATGCATACACAGTCAGTAAGCCATTCAGTCTCTACTATATTTCATATCATGCTTCTTTTCCATTTCCATATATCAACATCAAAAACAAAATTAAGATTTGATAATTTGAAAACAAAAACAACAAAATAAGAAAACACAGCAGCGGGAAAACCTAAAAAAAGTACTATAGAAGAAATAAACAGCTAAAAGCTATATGTGGCACAACACCATCAAGTGAGGAAGATAGACTTCAACAAAGTGAAGAACTTATTCAAAATCTACAAGAAGACACAGCGTCCCTAAGAGAACAGCAATTCTCTTCTCAATTCCTAAAAGAAGAGAGACTTTACAGACACCAGGACTAATGATGGCATCTACCCCAAGGGAATCACTCAAAAAAGAGCAACAAAAGAAAAAGAAGACCATCAAATCTGGTCAGAGTTGCACTACACAGAAGAGAAACTTCTAAAGAGATTGTCAACAGAAAATAAAAGACTAAAAAGGCTTAAGTTGATGGCCAAGAGGAAGCAGGTAATTATCTACATGGAGGGTAGAGAGAACCAGAAGAAACCTAGAAAGTGAGGTCATCAGAGAACATTACCCAATAACAGCCAGAGACGATTAATTTGCATGCGTATAGCCACTTCCTTCATCAAGGTGAGGTCTCCACCATAATAACTAGGAAATCCAGAGAAATTTGGAAAAGGGGACAGATATTCCTTAATAGAGAGGTTTAATGGGACACTATAGTGTTGAGAACTTTTACTTACTTTTTTTTTCCCAACGCCAAGGCTCTGTTTACATCTCCATCTCCATCGATGTCACGGAGGAGGCATCTCCATGATGGCCCAATCCAATGCTCCTCGTAGAGCATTGCAGGACTTAACCCTGCAATGTAAAAACTGCACTTTTTAAAAATGGTAGTGTTTTACAGGGCTAGGAGAACAGGAGCATTGCACCCAGGCCATTTCACTGAGATGAAGTTGTCTGACTGACTGTAGTGTTCCTTTAACGGACACTATGGCAAATCTTCATTAATTATTTCTCTCTGAGAACTGCAGGCACAAACTGTCAATGGCTCGATTCTGTAAACTTAAGCCATTTTGGATTGTGGTTCTGGAGTGTCTGTTGTGTTGGCCCCGGAGGACAGGCTCTAGGGGGATAATGACCAAATTGCTGTTAATTATTGGTTTAACTGACATTAATATACTAGAATCTCCCAAACATCTCATGTGACCAGCAGTTCGAGGTTTATCCAGAGCCACAATCTGTCACATTCTCAGCTCTACACTTCACTACACTCTACACTGTGTGTTGCCTTAGATCTGAGCAAAGTACACAAAATAATGTATTTAAAACATTAGACTTATAAGTAGGATGGAGAGAGTAGAATCTAAATAAACTGAGCTAATTGGTTAAAGTAGCAATAACAATTTAAATAGTAGAGCTATTACTTTATTTGAAGTTCAGTTTGTGAAACAAATTCGATGGGTAGATATTTGAGGTCAATTAGGATCCGGTTTCAGGATTGTGAAGGCTACGTAAACAGGAGTACATACAGGTTCGGCAACGATACGGAATTGAAGTGTAAAGCTCAGGTGGTAGTACTGCAACGATCAGTAGCAACAAAATAACTGAGCAATACACTGTTGCACGAGTCGTCTTTTAACAAGGATGGTATTAGTATATGCTATGTGCAGTTGTGTATTTTAAAATGGTGCTGCCATAGGCTTGACAGATCTCGGGCACCCCCAATTTAAATGTACCCACCCTTCCTGCCAAAGCCACACTTCTTCCTGTTAACTTACACACATTTTGACTGACAGACACACACTTACGGACCAGCACACACTCTCTGATACACTGACATACACACACATACACTCACTGATTTGATCCAATCTGACACAAACAATCATTTAGACACACGCTGACAGACGCATACTCACTGACAGACGCATACAATCACTGACAGACGCATACAATCATTCAGATACACACATTCACTGGACACACACACTCACTGACAGATAGACACACACACATTCACTGAAACACACTCACTGACAGACACACACACTCACTCACATTCACTGACACACACTCACTCATATTCACTGACACATTCACTCACATTCACTGACATACACTCACTCACATTCACTGACACACATTTCCCCACACTTATAACGTATTTGTCACACATGGATGAACGTCTCAGGCATAGACACAATAACAGAGACAGGCCAAGAAGAAACCCAGTACGCTTGGCGTTGATGTTTCCAGCATCAGAAACTACCACTGTTGCTATTCCTAAACCCATGCATTTAGGGTTTACTAGATTATCTGTAGCTGAAAAATTACAGAGGAGAAAAGAGGGCCTTTGTTTGTAATGCGGAAAGAAGGGTCATCTACGTTTAACTAGTCCCAATAGGCCAGAAAACACCCACACCTAAGCCCTCTTGGATTACAGGCCTTTGGTGTATTACACATGTGCTCCTTTGAACCTTCATCTTCTATTCCCTATAACCTTGAAATTAGAGAGTAAGATCATCGACATGCATGCCCTTATCGATTCCGATTAGCTGCAGATAATTTGTTGATGCCTCTTTTGTCAAAACCTATTCTTTCCCATTGAGAGTAAGATACACACCCTTGGCTGTAGAGGCCATAAATGGTAGATCACTTAGTGATCCTGTTATCACTAAAGAAACTATACCCTTTTTAATGTTAGTAGGAGTATTGCATCAAGAAATTATAGTCCTACAACAGATATCCTCACCCTCCTTCCCTATTGTTTTAAGATTTTCTTGGCTTGCTAAACATCATCCTGTAATAGATTTTGAAAATAAGGAGTTGAAAAGCTGAAGTGATTCATGTATGGAGGGGTGTGTTTCAAAAGTCAAACATTCCCACAATGGAACCTTTATCCACTGAGATACCAGATCCTTATAAAAAGTTAAAAGTTGTGTTTGAAAAGAAAGAAGCTGATAAACTTCTTCTTTGCATCTCCCCTTTGATTGCGCTGTCAATCTACTCCCTAG